GGGACCATGTCAAAGGCCTTGCAGAAGATCAGATAGATGACATCTGTAAGTCTTCCCTTGCTGACTGGAAGATCAGATAGACGACATCTGTAAGTCTTCCCTTGCTGACTGATGCAATCACTTTGTTGTAGAAGGCCACTAGGTTGGTCAGGCAGGACTTGCCCCTAGTAAATCCATGCTGACTACCTTATGAATATTATGCAAGCATCTTAAGAGGAATAAAGCTGCAGTGAACCATACAATCTATCTGTGTGAATTCCTATTAGCAGTGATTAATATCAGTGCTGCTAGCCAAATGTGTTCCAAAATCCAGAGGCATACTTTGCTGCTATGGGCTGAAGTTCCTCATCTTCCAAGTGCTGGAGATGCCAAGTATAGAACTCTGTTTCAGGTCTACATCTTAAATAGCAACTTTCTCTTTCTGTACAGATGATAAGACACGGGTCCCTCTGGGAGAAAAGAATGGCTACATTAACGCAAGTTACATTAGAATGAAAGTTGGAGAAGAGGAACATTTCTATATTATAACCCAAGGGCCTCTGTCATCAACCATGGCTGATTTCTGGCAAATGGTCTGGGAGAGTGAATCAGATGTGATTGCCATGATGACAAAAGAAGTGGAGCTAGGGCACATCAAATGTCATCGATACTGGCCTGAACCTCCTCATGACTCTATAGACCTGGCTGAATTCCAGCTCAGGCTAGACAGCTACCAGGTTCTGGAATATTTCATAATTAGAACAATAGAAGTGATCAACAAGCAGGTAAGTTGAGTAGACTTAATACATTCATATATGTTGAAATCGATTAGGTACTTTACATGAGTAAATACTCAATAATATTATTGTTTGCTTCTTCCATAACATTTGCTCATTATTTTTTAGGAATGTAAAAATCTGAATAACAGGCATGAAATTAGGGTTAGTGAGATGCTGCTTCTTTGCCCATTGCACAAGCAATGGATCCAACATTACATACATTTGGACAAGAATGTCCAAAAGTTAGTCCTTTAATAGTCACAAAGCTGGTGTGTTCAGTGTTTTGCAGACTTGCTTACTGTTCTCATAAAATTAAATCAGTGAGATCTGCCATAGTGAATTCATATTCTGTAATGGTGGCTGGAAGGAAAGAGAAGGTGATTTTCATCCTAGATTTTAGGACAAATGATATGTCTTTCATTCATGAAAAGACATTAATGTAAATGAAACTAGAAATCTAGCAGCAAATTTTTAGAAACCTAACAAATGTAGAACTCAGGTGTAAGAAAATGAAAATTGGGGCAAATATAAGTCCATCACTCTTGCCTCAATATTAAGTAAAGCTATAAGTAAATATAAGTAAAGCTATAATATTAAGTAAGGCTACAGATGTTTCTGCAGGATGTTAATTAATGGAATAAAGACTTATACCAGCATAACCTGGTGTTTTCTTCCATCAAGAAAGTAATGTCTCTAAATATTAAGTAAGGCTACAAATGTTTCTGCAGGTTGTTATTTAATGGAATAAAGACTTATACCAGAATAACCTGGTGCTTTCTTCCATCAAGAAAGTAATGTCTCTGTATGAAGAAAACACAATTCACCTTATGTAACTGAGTTTGAAGCATAGTTAATTATTCAATCTGAGCCTTCATAATAGATTACTAAAGATGGGAAGATAAGCCATTATATGTGATTGTTTCAATGAAGTTGTTCTGTTTGCTGTGTGTGACTTGGACCTGTATCAAGTACTACAAAAAGCCACAGATTTACTTCAGCGTAAGTCCAGACACGCATTTCTTCTGATAGTAGAAATCCAGGTCGTTCCTTGTCATTCAGCTTACCATGTTTTGGCAAGCTGGCAACAAGAAATACTGTCCCAGGACCATTCAATGAATAATACTCTATATTTTATCTACATTATGATTGTTCTTACAACCATTATTATGGTTGATTTGGCTTGTATGTTTGGGTACCCAATCACAAATTGTTCTTTTATATCTGATTAGCCACAATAGCACTTACAATCTTACTGTTGTGGCTACCATATTGTTACTCTTCTGTTACTATGGCTTAGATCAGCTACAAAAAACAATTTTAGTAAACAGTAGTGGGATGCTCTAATTTTAAAAATATTTTTATTTTTCCATTCTAACCAATGAAGAAGATAACTACATCATTTTGGGTCAACAGAATAACTTCGGTGTCTCATCAAAATTATATGAAGTACATTTCCTAGGCCTGTGTCTTCTGAGTGTGTTTCAGAAAATTTATAAGAAGCCTTAATACGGTCAAGTATGGAAAGTTGAAGAATTGTAGGATAGACAAACATTTGACTGAGAACGAGGTTGAAGGAAAATTTGTCAGTGGAATTCTTTGAAAATCTGTCTCAGGACTGATGGTTTCTAACATTTCTGGTCTTCCTCCTCCAGACAGAAGAGAAGCGCATTGTAAAGCATTTGCAGTTTACCACTTGGCCAGACCACAATACTCCCAAACTAGCTGAGCAGCTTGTAAAATTTATTTTTTACATGAGAAAAGCTCACAGTACAGGACCTATTGTTGCTCACTGCAGCACTGGCATTGGACGAAGTGGGGTTTTGCTGTGTGTTGAAGTTCTGCTCAGCTACATAGAAAAAGATTTACGTGTAAGTATCAAACAGATCATCATTAAGTACTACAAACTGGTATGATATCAACAACATGTGGGAGTGTCTTAGACCAGAGTAATTCCTGGTATTGTCCATCCTAACAACATGGAATTAACCCAGCTTTTGTTCTTTTAAACGATGCAGATAATGACTAAAAATATGTTATTATTTATAAAATAACTGAGTCACAACTTTCCCATCTGAATATATTTAAGTCTTTCTTTACAACTTGCATGTCAACAAAATAAAACCTGTTCTTTTCTGATAGTTCAACATCAAACAGATAGTGAGAGATTTGAGAGGTCAGCGTTTTGGCATGATCCAAACTAAGGTAAGTTCTCAATATTCAACTAGATTATGATTTTTATTAATTAATGGTACACATGCTTTGATAAATCTGGGGCTTAAAGCATAATTTTAGCCCTCTTATTTGAGGAAACTAGCAGCCTTCCAGGCAAGTGGTATCTACATTTAAATGTGGAGTTTCTGTCCCTTACTAGCTTATTGAAACAAAAGCATAGCACCAGTATAGTACAGGTACCACTCCTGATCCCCCATCCCTTTTTTTTTAAGCAAAAAGAAAAGCAGGGATCAATAACATAATCAGTGAGGTATAAGCTCTATCCTGCAAAACTGCAGCCTTCTGCTGAATTCTTACGATTGCTGAGTTATCATCACCTCAGTAAACCCTTCTACTGCTGAGTTAAACCTACCCATGAAAAGAATTTTCACATAGGAAAAGACAAGATGCAGCTAAGTCATTTTAGAGCAAACAGGTGGTGGGAAGAAAAGCAAGACAAAACTAGGTAAGTTTTTCCAATTGACAAATATTATAACACATGCTTTGACATATTTTTCTGCAGGATAATGATTAAGCATATGATTAAAATTAAGAAAATAGATAACCTTGACTGACCTAAATAAGACTTTAGCACATGCTTACAGGTATTGTCAGAAAGTGTTCCTGAACTTTTAGAAGTGATAGGACAAAAATAACAAGGATGCTTTTAAATATCTAAGGTTTTGTATCAATGTTACAAAGATGATGATGTTATAAACAGCTCTTCAGCCAGTCCATCTTTCTTTGTTTAGAACATATGTGTTGAATATAACCAGGTATTTTACATTGGTGGTTTTGTACACAGGATGAGTATTTATTCTGTTATGAAGTTGTCTTGGAAGTCCTTCAGAAGCTTCAAGTAAAGAATTCCTACTGACTGCAATATGACTCTTCCCTGTTGCTATTCCCCTTGGACTCCAGAGACTGCTCAGCAATTACTTTAAAGAGATGTCAAGTGGGCACAGACAAGTATTACAGTATATGCTTTTTTAGATTACTCTGACTTCTACAGCATTTCAAAATCTTGCTTAATGTGTTCTGAGTATGTAATTTAAATCTTGTCTCACAGTTTGGAGAAACAGCCAACCATCACTGGAACACTGCTGTTAAATGGCCATGGAGAATTTGTGTGTTCTGTATAATAGCATATTGTTATACAAATATTTTTGGACTGTTGGCAAGGAGATAGCAGCCTTTGGAATTAGCTTTGCTTTCCAGTGGTCAGCTATAAAGATCTAAGATTCTGCTGGTGTTGGTGGAAGATTAGTTGTCCTTTACATATTGTTGTGTACTATTGGCCTCTGGACTGCAATTCAGTATTTTCTACAGTAGTTATGCTTTTGTGTGGAAGGACTCAATTTGTTTAGCTTTGGTTGCTTGAACCATATAGAACCATTTCCAGTCATCACTCTAGTCCAGGAATTTGTACCACCATCACTAGATATTTTAAATCAAGAAACTGACAGCAAAATAGAATGCTTTTAAACCCTACTTGGTTCTTTCCAAAGCAGGAAGTGTTTAATAGCTGGATGGAGTATTAATTCTCCCAAGCAATCTGAACAGCTGAAGATAGCATCAGTATTCTTTCATTCTGCATCTGTGTAAAGAGGAATGCAAACTAAGGCAGATGAAATGTGTGTGCATGCACTGTGGCACGCATATACATTTCATCTTCCCCTACTTCTTACCCTTGATTGGTTACCTTGTAATTCTTATCTAGGACCCGAACCAATCTATGGGAAATCCCACTGTTTTCAGCAAGAGTTAAATCAGATCTTTCAATTAAATAACTCTGTACAGTTTATTTCTCTTGTAAAAAGTATTTCTATTATTGTGAGTTTGAGTGGATTTGAGCAGAAAGCTGCTGATCAAGTTTGTAAGATTTTACTTGTTTCTATAATACTACTTCTAAGGCCTTTCTCGAGAAGCTGATACATATGAAAGTGAAATTATTAGACGTGCATTGGAAAAGTAACTTTTAAACAAAAAGTTATAAAAGTGTTTCAGTGAACTGTATATATTTTTAAAACGTCTTTTATTTCAGTAAAGGAAAAAATACTAAAAGGCATTTTAATATAAAACTGCAATAGAAACAAGACAATAAAATAGCTGTTCTTTTTCATTATGAATGAGAAGTTTATGGTTCAGGGAGAAAAAAGGATTAAATACAAGCTAAAAGTATGACTTTTAGAAAAAGCTACTGTAACATGATTTTAATTAAGGGCAAGGGCCACTTTTTCTTTCTGCCCTCAGGTCTGTGGAAAGTCAAGAAAAGATAGAAATTAAATCTATGATATGAGTCAGATGCTAATTTCAAACATACTGATGGAGATCTAAGCTAACACTAAATTAGTGGAGTAGCCCTGGACTGTTATAAATATGAAGAAAATTCAATGTCCTGTCTTAAATTCATTGAATTTGAGCCTTCCCATAAGTATTATCCTCCATACATTCTGCACTTACTATCTTTATGTTGCATATAAAGGACTATTTGCACAATTTTGTCAAGTGTCATCAGCCAAATTTTTCTTCATAACTTTGCTACCTTTGTTTGGTATTTGGCCTTTCACTTTGATTTTAATTACTGCACATGTATTACTATGCAATGAATGCACTGCACTGAACATGAATGCACAATTCACTTTTTGTACCACAACTTAAGAAAGCTTCCAAGAGAAAATATTAAAGTACTTTATGCAAAGGTTGGTTTCTTTTTTTTTTTTTTTTTTTGTGGATTAGAACAAGCATTTTGGATTTAGAAGACAATTTTCATGACACTATTTGTTCCTCCACATTTGTGCATCATCTTTGCAGCTGTTTGACAGAAGTGTTTGCTGTTTAACAGACTTTTTTTCCTGTTTTACAGGGATATTAAAAAAAAATTTCTGAAAACACTGTGTTTCATTTAAATTTATTCTTATAAAAAAGCAGCTGTAATGCTTGTCTACTAACCAGTAGGAACTGTATAGAAAATAATCTTTTATTAACTGGGGCTTAAACTTCCTTTAAAGGCAGATTTTTTTTAATGGTGGTACCTTTTGTACATTCCCCTAAAAAAGGTGTTGCTGACCTCTGAGACAAGGGCTGTATATACTCTAATACCTCTTCTGCAATGACAAGATACCTTAAAACATCCACACAAGCCAAAGTGGGTGGTAGAGGCTACAAAAACATTACCAGGTTTGAATAACTGACTTTAAAAAGTAACAAATTGTGTTTTTAGGACTTGTAATAATATAATCTGGCTTCCTTTTGATTTTCTTATTGCCTTACTGAACAACAGAATCTTCTGTGCTGGGATAAATACAGTGAATGCAGACACTGTTAGGATTGCAAAAGGCCAGCAAAGAGTGCCATCTGCGGGCAAATCGCCCCCACCACAGCACCAGCTGGCACAGAACCGACAGGAGTCTAATTCATAAAGAAGTTTGCTCTGGCCCTTAAAGAAGTGGTGCTTTCAGAACGAACCACTCAATTTCCTGAAAATTACAAGTAGTGCGAAATCCTTCTGGAGTTTTACGATAACTGGCTTTAGGAAACAGCTGAGTAGCTGAAATCTAATTGGGTCGGTGTCTATTTAGTGTAAGACAATCCCTGCAAACTGGTTTCTTTTGTCAAATATGTTGCAAATTCATCTGCAGAATGATGACTAGAGATAGTGATGTATCTCAGAGTAACGATCCCAATCGTTGCTGTGGTGGATTAACCCTGGATGAGCAAGCGATGTCCACCAAGCCACTCTATCACCTTCCCCCTTTCCTCTCCTTCTTCCACAGAGCCAAAGTGGAAAGGAAAATAAGATGGAGGCAAAACCCTTGTGGGTAAAAAATAAAGGCATTGTTTTTATTGGAGAGCAAAGCCAAGCAATGCCACGCAGAGGTGAAGAGAAAAACCACAAAGGTTTATTCTCTTTCCCATCCCCAGACGATGTCTGGCCCCTTCCTGGGAAGCAGGGCTCCAGAACGTGTAGCAGTTGCTCCAGGAGACCAAGGAGTAGTGGCATTCACAACATGGGTGTTATCCACACCCTTCTCACTCCCAACACAAAGGCACTGCACCAGGAGGGCAACAATGGGAAGATCAGCTCAGCCAGACTCGATACAACTGCACACCGAAGAATGTGACCCATGTAACGGTTAGCCTGAGCGGGCCCAAGATTGTGTTGTGCTATGAATATCTCTCAGCCACAGAATAAACACAGCCAGCTCATTGTAACAGAAAGCCTGTAGGCATCTCCCACTTCCCACTGCAGATTAGGCTACTTGCAATTTCTTGCCTTTACCTAAAACTGCAGCAGGAAGTTTTCATGTGAACATTCTTTCTGGTGGACAGTAGAAATGCTGAATGTTGTTTTCTTGTGAGAAAATAATGTAATAGTTCAAATGACTAAAACAGGGTAACCTTTCCATGACAGGGTCTGCACAATGTGCTGTGCCCACATCGGGTGCCTGTTAGATGCTGCACAACCTGGAGTTCATGGCATCTGAAGGGACAGATAATCTATACTATCCTCTCTTCCTTTACAGCATTAGTGCTACTAAATAGCACTTTAAATGACACTTTGCATAGTTTGAGTGCCTTTTTTACTGGAATTAGACAGGAACAGGACCTCCAGATGCAAAACACTGGAGTTACCAGTCACAGTTAGCAGTGAAAGACAATGTTATTTCTCACAGTTGTTAAATCACAAAGCTAGGCTCAACAAGATTGCCTGCCTACTGCTTGCAAAGATAACTGAATATTATTGTAATGCTACGAAAACCCAGATGCCAGCTGAGATCTCTACACTGAAAAGAGAGCTCATCTTTGCAGTCTGAGCAGACTGAGTGTGACAGCCCGCTATTAGATTGACCTTTTAAATGTCCAGTAACGTGTGTGATAGAAGGTCACAGCACTTCTAAAGAAATATGTAACAGCAAAGTGTGATTTGCACAGTCTCACACTGATGGAGCTCTGTAGGTTTAGAAATAATTTTGTGAAACCAGAAGAGT